GAATCAATGTACATGGCCTTTTATGACTGGCTTCTTTCACTTAGCATAATTTTTTTCAAGGTCTATCCATGTTGCAGTATGTATCTGTCCTTCATTCCTTTTTTTGTTTGTTTCTTTTTGTTGTTTTTTTTACTTCATTCCTTTTTATAGCCAAATAATATTCCATTGTATGATGTACCACTTTCTGTATATCCATTCATCTGTTGATGGACTCTGGTTGTTTTCTATCCTCTGGATTTTGAAGCATCGAAAGTTCTCCGTTCTTTCCAGCAGAGGGCGGTGTTAGGTCCCAGCCTCCTCCTTCCGGCAAAGGGAAAAGGCTACCTTGGAGGGGGGTGTGCTGGAAACTTGGTCTGGGCTTATGGACTACTAGGGTTGCTGCTGAGAGTGTGAAAGGGTGTGTGTGTGTGTGTGTGTGTGTGTGTGTGTGTGTGTGTGTGTGTGATTTTTAAATAAATTATACAGCCATGTGACCACATCCCAGAAAACAAAGGAAATTGAGGGGCGACATCAGCAATAATCCCACTTATTTGTCCCATTTTAGTTTTTATTTGTTTGTTTTTTTTTAGCTGAGCCATCCTGCCACCTGTTGGCAGCTCAGCGGCAGCTCAGCTCGGACTGGGAATCCATTTTAGTTTTTAGGTGAAAAAAAAAAACAACACATCTATTGGGAGTGATGGAAATGTTTGTTATCCAATTGTCATGATAGCTTCATGGGTGTATACAGATGTCAAAACTCCTCAAATCGCACACTTCAAATTACGCAGCTTGTTGCACGTCAATTATACCTCATTTAAGCTGTAAAAAATAAAAACAAAAGTAACATCTATTTTTTAGTTACAAAAGTTAGACATTTTTATTATGAAGAATTCAGAAAAGAGTAATGATGAAAAAAAATGTCACTCGCTGCTCACAGACAGCTGTGGATCCCCTGGTGAAGTCCTCTCCACCTGCTGAACCCCTGGGGAGGCTCCCCTGGGGCCAGCGCTTGTGACCCATCAGCCTCCAGCTTGTGCAGCCAGGGCCCACCTTGGCTCTGCTGGCCTCATGGGACCAGACCCAGAATCCTTCCACCAGATGGCCCAGCAGACTCTGCACTGGGACCTTGTCTTCTTCAGAGTCCACACCTCTCTGTCACTTCCCTGGGTCCCTGTTACTTCCCTGGCCAGTGCCTTCTCAGTCTCTGCTTCTACTTCCTTCCTAGTCCAGTCCCTGCCATTCTTCAAACACCAGCTGTTCATGAACAACACTCCCATTTTTGTCTCAGTTATTTATTTTATTTTATTTTTTAAGCTGAGCCATCCTGCCACCTGTTGGCAGCTCAGTGGCAGCTCAGCTCGGGCCGGGCATCGAACCCCTGTTGCTCAGAGCTCGCACTCTTGAGCGAGCTCTTAACCAACTGAGCCACTCGGCCGGCCCTCCGTCTCATTTCTTGACCACTCCTCAGTGCCCCAGACCCACACTCTCTCTGCCTGTCTCCTCCTCCCTGTGGATGGGCTATGGGCGCCTAAAGCCTCGTGTGGGCCTCCTGCTTCCCCATCACAGTCAACAGCCCACTCTCCATTCCTCTCCCCACATCCAATCCAGCTACAAGTCCAGAACTGACCGGGAGTCCGAACCCTTCTCTCAATCCCCTTGCTTCCACCCTAGTCTGGGTCACCAATGCCCCCTGCCTGGACCAGTGTCACAGTCCCTGACTGCCTGCTCTGCTCCCGCCCCCCACCTGCCCACACAACAAACCTGAGCATCACTCCACTTTGGGAAGCTATGGTGGCTATTTGAGTTTAAATTCATTAAAGTTAAATCAAATAAAAAATTCAGTTCTTCAGTTGCAGCAGCCACATTTTAGGTGCTCAGCAGAAGCTAATAGCTGCTGTATTGTTCAGCGCAGAGTACAGAACACGTCCATGATGCTGGAAAATTCTATCAGATGGTGCAGGCTACGAACCTTCCAGAGGCTTTTCCTTGCATTTAGAATAAAACCCAAACTTCTTACAAGCCTGGAAGGCCCTGCTTCTGTTTAATGTCATCTCCCGCCACCCACACCAGCCTCATCTCCTAACCCAGCTGTTCCTTAAACACACGTAGAACTTTGAAGTGTCCCTGTCTTTGCCTTTCTGTTCCTCATCCTTAGGACCTACTTGGGCATCACCTCTCCCAGCAAGCTTTCCCCAGGCCTCTGCTTCCTGCTGGACCCGCACGTAGCACACACACCTCTGCTGTGGCCTGGTTATGCCTGCCTTATCCTTTCCTCCCCAACAAACATGCACCTCTCTCCCTAGGCTGTGTGCTCCTTGGGGCCACACACACATCAGATTCCTCATTCACCAGAACTGACTGAGCACCTACTATGTGCTGAGCACTGGTGGGTCATGGGGAACAAGACAGATCTCGGTGCTCAGGAGTTTAGATCTAGCTGGGGACCGATGGCGAATGGGGGATTAGAAAGTGTTATGTGTCTGGACTACACATTCCTCTTTCTTCCTCCCTTCCTCAGGAGGGATGGATGATAAGAAAGCTTTGCAGGAAAGGACCAGAGATCCAGGGTGGGAGTGCTTTCAGAGAAGGGGCCAAGGAGGGGAGGAGTATCCTTGGGGCCAGAAGAAGCTGTCTCACGAGATAGCCGCTATCTTGCTGTGTCCTTGTACCCAGCAACAAGCCATTTACAAAGCGTGCAGAGCCTGCAAACCCAAACTACAAAGCTTTAGGGTTTGTGAACTAAATTTGCTGATATGTCTACAATATTTAAGTTGGGGCTGAGTTGGGGCCTGCAAACCACACAAAGGGACACCTCACTGATAGATGAACCCCGCCCCCCCAGTATCTTTTCATTTTCCAGGTGGTTAATGATAATGTCCCTGATGAACCCACAATCCCCTCCCCTGGAAACTGAGGGGGTTCTGTCAGCAAGGGAAAAAGCAGTTTGTGATTTTGGGATTCTCTCTGCTGATGACCAGGGAATGAGTCCTGGAATGAGTCTGGGGGCCTGGTTCTAGGCCTGCCTGACCCACTTGCTGGGAGACCTGAGCAGGCCATCTGAAGAAGGCAGCTAATATTGATCATGAGCCGCAGTGTGCCACACCCTGTGAAGTCAGTATTTATTATACCCATTTTCAAGAAGAGGTCACTGAGGATTCGAGCAATGCTGGGATCCCAGCCTTGCTTTGTTTAGTCCTAAAGGCAAGTTATCAACTCCTTCTATTTCCCCACATGCAAAATAGGCTTTACTCAGGGCCCTGTCTTCCTTGCAGGGGATCTGCGATGTAAAGGAGCTGGGTGGGAGGGGACATAGGGCCTCAGGAGGAGAGATGGCAGGAGGATGGAGAGGCCGGCAGAGGGCAGCAGTGAGCTGTGCCAGGATGCGTCTGGAAAGTGGTGCCTCAAGGGTTTTCCACGACCGTTCCCAAGGCACCAACATTAACAAGGAACCATGGAAGGAACCACCACATGCCATTTATTGGAGTATGTTTTATGTCTGTCCCATCTGGGTGCTTTACACACGGTGCAAACAGCATTTTACATATGAGGACAGAACAGGCTTAGAGAAGGGAAAGGAACTGCCCAGGTCACAAAGCCCGGCGTGGGGGAGACTTTAACCCTAGCCAGGCAGTGGGGCCACTGGCCCTGGGCTCTGTTCCTCTAGAATAGACGTCAGGGCATCTGCTCTGGGTGGCACTGGAACTGGGGGGAGGGCAAGAAAACCTCTCACATCCACACAGGGACAACAGCCCTCAGAGGCAGATATCCTTGTTCTCATGTCAATGCCTAGGAAAAGGAGGCACAGGGAGGCAGAGACGGACAGGACTCACACCCAGTTCTCTGGTTGACAAATCCTGTTTCCTTTTCTCCTCACCCAGCAGGTTGGTTTGAGTATTTTCATTTTGCCCCATCAAGACTCCCTACCAGGTGCTCTCTGCTGTGTGTCCAAGATCTCTGGGCTTCCTTGGGTCGGAGAAAGATTCTGTTTCATTACTTGCCTGTCCTGTCCTGTCTTCCACTCAGCCCTGTGGGTCACAATAGAGACCAGTGACCCCCTTACAGAGGGAGACTAAACAGATAAGTTTAAGTCAGGCAATTCGAGGTGGGGGGGCGGGGAGAGGGGAACTACACTCGCCTCTGGAGCTCAGGAGAGACCAACGGACAAATCCACGAGGCAGGAAGGGAGATGTGGGTGTTGGGGGACAAACTCCTATTATCTTTGTGATAATCCCCTGTGGCAGTTGTTGCTTCATCACCCACCCCCAGGTCCACAGCGCTGGAGGCCCACTGGCACACAGGGGCTGCTGGCATTAGCGCCCAGCCCGGCCCTTCCTTCCTCGCTGAGTGACCTGCCCGTCCGGGCTCCACACTGACGTTGGTGAGTGGCCCAGGGCGTGGGGGCAATGAGGATCCAGGTGTTCCTGTTCCAAGATTGCAGAAGGGCCTCCGCATTGGACGGTCGGGTTCGCAGCCAGGGCCTCAGTTTCCCACCAAGCGCGGGAACGAAGGAGAGCAGTGGCTCGGTTGGGGAGCAGCCTCCTGGTGGCCCCCACCCCTCTCTTCGCCCCTCCCCGGGAGCCCGCCGCGCGGCCCCTTTAAGAGGCCCGCCCGCCTCCGTCAGCCGCCGCAGCCACCGCCCCCCGGCCCTCCCCTTCCTGCGGCGCCGAGTGCGGGCCAGGCGGGAGTGCGGCCAGAGAGGGCCGGGCCGAACGCAGCGCCTGGGAAGGCGGTGGCGGCCGGGACACGGGCGGCGCGGGAGCCAGAGGAGAGGAGCTGCGGCGGCCATGGGCTAGCGGCGCCCGGCCGAGCGGAGGGCAGCTCCCATCCCGCCCGGTGCCAAGGAGCCCCGCACACAATAGCGGCGCGCGCAGCCCGCGCCCCCCACCCCCCCAGCCCTCGCGCGCGCCCCGCCCCGCGCCGCCCGGGGATCCGAGGGGCCGCCTCACCTGCCGCCCGGGAGGGGGCGGGCATTGTTCGCCCGCTGCGGCCGCTGCCGACGCGCGGGACCATGGGGGCCGCCAGGCGCCCCGCGCCGGGCCTGGCGAGGCCGCTGCGCCGCCGCTGAGGCGGGCCCCGCGCACAGCCGGGCGGCGCAGGTGAGGCCGGCGGCGCCATGGTGGACCCAGTGGGCTTCGCCGAGGCGTGGAAGGCGCAGTTCCCGGACTCCGACCCGCCGCGCATGGAGCTGCGCTCCGTGGGCGACATCGAGCAGGAGCTGGAGCGCTGCAAGGCCTCCATCCGGCGCCTGGAGCAGGAGGTGAACCAGGAGCGCTTCCGCATGATCTACCTGCAGACACTGCTGGCCAAGGAGAAGAAAAGCTACGACCGACAGCGCTGGGGCTTCCGGCGCGCCACGCAGCCCCCCGACGGCACCGCCGAACCCCGTGCGCCCGCGCAGCGCCCGCAACCCGCGCCCGCCGACGGCGCCGACCCGCCACCTGCGGAGGAGCCCGAGACCCAGCCCGACGGAGAGGGATCCCCGAGCAAGGCCAGGCCCGCGGCCGCCCGCAGGCCCGGGGCCCCCGCGCCCGTCGACCGGGACGACCGGGGGGTCCCCACCAGCGTGGCGGCACTTAGGTCCAACTTCGAGAGGATCCGCAAGGGCCATGGCCAGCCCGGGGCGGCCGATGCGGAGAAGCCCTTCTATGTGAACGTCGAATTTCACCACGAGCGTGGCCTGGTGAAGGTCAACGACAAAGAGGTGTCGGACCGGATCAGCTCTCTGGGCAGCCAGGCCATGCAGATGGAGCGCAAGAAGTCCCAGCACGGCGCTGGCCCGGGCCTGGGGGACACTCCCAGGCCCTGTTACCGGGGGCGCTCCTCCGAGAGCGGCTGCGGCCTCGACGGTGACTATGAAGACGCCGAGCTGAACCCTCGCTTCCTAAAGGACAACCTGATTAACGCTAATGGCGGCAGCAGGCCCCCTTGGCCGCCCCTGGAGTACCAGCCCTACCAGAGCATCTACGTGGGGGGCATGATGGTGGAAGGGGAGAGCAAGGGCCCACTCCAGCGCAGCCAGAGCACCTCTGAGCAGGAGAAGCGCCTCACCTGGCCCCGCCGGTCCTACTCCCCTCGAAGCTTTGAGGACAGCGGAGGCGGCTACACCCCGGACTGCAGCTCCAATGAGAACCTCACCTCCAGCGAGGAGGACTTCTCCTCGGGCCAGTCCAGCCGCGTGTCCCCGAGCCCCACCACCTACCGCATGTTCCGGGACAAAAGCCGCTCACCCTCGCAAAACTCACAGCAGTCCTTCGACAGCAGCAGCCCCCCCACGCCACAGTGCCAGAAGCGGCACCGACAGGGCCAGGTCGTAGTGTCCGAGGCCACCATCGTGGGCGTCCGCAAGACGGGGCAGATCTGGCCCAGTGATGGGGACAGCTTGTCTGGCAGGCTGCCTCAGGATGCCACCTTCCATGGAGATGCAGGTGGGTACCTCCACCAGCTTGGGTAGACATACCTTTCCCTTGGCTGGTAACCATTGAGTCAGCAGGAGGGAATAGAACAGGGGATGTTGGAAGCGGAAGAATAGGGAGATACTTTTTGGAGTGAATTTCAAATATTGTGGACAGGAAGGATTCACACTGATCCTGCGCCTGGACAAACTCCATCCGTGCCTTCCTGGTGAATGCAGGTTCCCAGTGTTTGGAATGGGATTGGATTGGGAGATGTGGTGCCTGGGATGGGAGGTGGCTTATTCCTTTGGTTCTAGAGCATGTGCTGCTTGTGGGTTGGGGCCAGGATGCCCTGGGCAGTCATCTCCTTGCCCTCTGATTGCTCCATGCTAAAGCAGTAAGGGGTCATCTCTGCCACCTAGATCTGATGCTTTTGGTGAAGATTGATTGGTGTCTTGGGCGTTCCCCGCCACCCCACTGTTCCTGTCCTGGAAGAGTTATATGACACGTTTGGGGAACTCAAGATGTGCTGCTGCTCCCAGGCCATAGAAGTGTCAGGTTCGCTTGCAACCCAGCAGCCCAAACACAAGTTAGAAAAGGCGAAAATACGAATTAGAAGGAAATGAGGTGACAGGTAGTTCTGACTCAGTGGGCCACCGAAAATCAATGGGGAGAAGATTTTATCTAGGGCTGAAGCAGAGCCACACCCATTCTGATCTGCCTGGCTTTGATGGGAGACTTCACCCTTCATTACTCACCCACAGGCTCCTCTGTGCATCTCACCCTAGCTCCATTTTTCGATGCCTCATTGTATTCCTGCCTCCTCATCCTCCCAAGGACAAGTGCCCACTGGTGCTTATTTCTGACCCTGGCCCTAAGATTAAACCTATGGCGTTGTGTATATAATAACTTCTGGGCTGTGTACAAATACCGCTGGCGCTGGGGTGATGGGACTGGGTTTTGAGGTCCAGGCCCAGTTTGTGATTAGGATAGGAGAGGGTGGGGGTGNTAATTAATGAATGGCATGGCACATTCGAGATGCTTATTAGAATCTCAACTAAAGTTGGCTAGTAGTGGGTTAGAGCCCAAAAGTTAAGTATGTATTAGATATATAAGTTTGGTAATCACTCTAAATGAGATGATGGGTAATATCATGAGATAAGGTAAAATAACCTAGGATGTGAGTAAAATAATCTAGGCTAGAAAAGAGAAACGTGAGTATATGTAAGGAGGAGAAAAGGACTGAGAACCAAATTTTGAAGTCCCCTAACATGGAGATGCCAGGAAGAGAAAGAAGGAAAATAAAAATTAGTGCTAGTGAAGGAGGGCAATACGTAGAGAAGAGCCTTGGAAGCCAAGTGTTTTAAGGCGGGAGTGGACTACTCTCTTAAATGCATTGAAAGAGAGCATATTCTTGACCATCAGATTTGTTAGCCTGTCAGGATTGCGGTCATCAATCACCTGAACTGGAGTAGTTTCATGGAAGTATATAAACATAATCCATGAGAAATTAGGAAAGGGAAGAAGTGACAGCAAAACTAGAGAGCTGGTTTAATTGAAGGAGCAATGTCTCTCAAAATCTTAATGGGTTACAGCAGCAGCAGTTTAGTTTTTTTTTTTTTTTAAAGATTTTTATTGGGGAATTGGGGGGATGGGGACAGTGCTGCTGTCAGGAATCTTTTGGAGTCCTGGTCTCTGTTGGGCTGATCTGGTTTTCCACTTCATTGATTTTTCTTTTTCTGCTGATGGAGTTGTATGTGCTTCATTTGTCAGAATCCTCTTGAAACAAGTGAGGCTATTTTTGGCTCTGGGAGCGGCCTTTTTGTGATCAGCACTCTGTCTTGTTTGTTTTAGGTACATCCAGTTGATGATTTTCCATTTGCAGCTGGGGGGTGGCTGTGGGATGCTGGTTGGACCTGTGGCCTGGCCCAGTTGCGTCCCCTAAGTCTTTCATGGTGCGGGGGAAGGGGAAGGATGGAAGGCTATAGTATTTAGCAGTGTGCTTTGCAGGCACATCAGCTCGTCCAGGGTCTGGAGGGTTGCCCTGTGGTCACTGGGCACCAGCCTTGTCTGGCCAGCTGTTGGCCAAGCAAGCCAGCTTGAACTGGCCCTGAGCACCCTGATGCAAGAGAATGTTATTAATAAAGCAGTAAATTTCAGACCTGCAATCTGAAACGATGTTCTTGTGCTGGGGAGTAATTCTGAGTTTCCAGAAAGTGGGTTTCGCTTGGTTGTGCTGTGTTTCAGAGGGCCTCCCTGTGAGCCCTCTCCCCGTTCTCATCAGCTCCTCCAGCCCGGCGCTCATACAGCTATAGGCATGAGACCCTGGCTCCATGTGTCACATAGGTTAGGTTCTCAGTAAATGGCTAAGGACTTAATTTTTACAACTTAGACTCCATTCTTAGGACTTTCTAGACCCTTCTCTGAATGTCCTCAGGGTCGCATATTCTCTTCTGTTAGGGTTTTAAACTCCTGGTTATTTTAGCTTTGGGAGCCTTTAAACTCTGCACCCAGCACTCTTCTCTGAGGGCTGTGGCTGGTGGGATCCCATACTGGCTCAGCCATCTGTCTCTGACTGTTTACTGATGTTCTTTAGATGGCTGAGGAGCCTGCTGGCCAGGGCTGCGCCTCTGAAAAGGGACAATGAGGAAAATCAGTGTGGGGTGGGAATGGAAGTCACCCTGATTCTTTGCAGCAGCAGACCTGGGGACCTGGATCCAATAGCTGCAGATTCCCTGTGGATAAGTGAGTCCTCGTATTTCTGAGTTGAGGGCCCCTGGTTTTGAGAGAAGGAGCTGAAATGACTATACATCACTGTGTGCCATGCATGATAATAGCATGCTCCGTGCAGGGGGGCCTCATGGGCTCTTACATCACTCTGTGGTGGGGCTGCCCATCTATATATGTAAGGACACAACCAGGAGGTGGCAGACCTGGGATCCTGGGCCCCTGTGGGAATGCAGAGTCATTCCTTCTAGAGTGTAGTGGCCTTAGGGTATTCTTTCCACCCCCCCTACCCTGTGCCTGAAAAGCTTGACTGGGTTGGTCCAGGGGGGTGGTTCAATAACAGCTGTGAGCCCTGCTGTGTGCAAGCCCCTTCCTTTGTATATGTGGTCTACACTGAAGGAGAGAGTGTGGTCCTGGCCATCTGGGAGCTTATAAGTTAATGGGAGAGAGGAACACACACATTATTTATGCGTTAAGAGGGCATGAGAGCTGGGAAGCTTCTGCAAGCAGTAGCTTTGAAGTGGGGGCCTTGCCCATCAGCATAACTCTTATCAGCCGAGGGTGGGGGAGCGATCTGCCCCCAGGAGTAATGGAATCAAAGGGTCAGGGCACCCATGTCTGCCCTCTGTGACTGTGGACGGTGTGCCTTTTTTATTTTGTGGTAAAGTATACATAACAAATTGACCATCTTAACCCATTTTTACCATTTTTAAGTATATAGTTCAGTGGAATTAAGTACCTTCCTGTTGTTGTGCAGCCATTACCGCTGTCCACCCCCAGAACCTTTATCTTGCAAAACTCAAATTCTATACCCATTGAACAATAGTTCCTCATTTCCTCACCCTCAGCCCCTTCAGCCCCAGCAACCATCATTCTACTTTCTGTTTCTATGACTTGACTATTCTTTTTTTTACAATTTTATTGGGGAATTGGGGAAGGGGAACAGACAAGTTGCCGTCCTTTTGTTCTTCAGTCTAGTTGTGGAGGACGTCGCTTCACTGGCTCTGTTGGTATTATCATTGCGCTCTTCCCGGGTGAGGCAGTCGCTCGCCAGCCATTGGACGGCCGTTCACCGTGGTTCTTGGCAGCTCATGCCTGCTGCCAGCCGCTTGTGCCAGCTGCCAGCCACTCACGGTAGTTCACGACAGCCCCACTACAGCCTCACTGCAGCCTATGCTGTTGCCATCGACTCTCGGTAGCCCAGCTCCAGGTCGAGCTGTTGTTTACCATCTTAGCTGTAGAGGGTGCAGCGTCACTGGCCCTAATGTGGGATCCGAACCGGGGCCCTGCTGCTCAGAGCTGGTGTCCCAAGCCAACTCCTAACCAATGCGCCACTCGGCAGGCCCTGACTTGACTATTCTTGATAACCTCGTGTAAATGGAATCATACAGTATTTGTCACTCTATGTCTGGCTTATTTCACTTAGCATTATGTCTCCAAGGTTCATCCATGTGGTAGCACAGACTGTGTGAGTTTTGAAGGCAGATCTCTGGAGCCTTGGTCAGAACCGACAGAGCACATACTGGCACACACTGGAAGATGCCTTCCTCCTTTTCACAGCTGTGGGTTGGGACTGGGAAGTGAGAAGGTGAGCTGGTTTTGGGGGAAGCATCTTATCAGCTGTACCTGTCTCTTTCTATCTTCATCCCTATCCTTTAACTTCCCTTTTGGAAGACTTTGGTGAGCCCTTTCATTAGAGAGGAGTGGACCCAAGGGGACCTTTCCTAAGAGGACCTTTCCTCTTTTAGTTTGAGGAATTCTTCTTTTTTTTATTTTTTTTTATTGGGGAACAGTGTGTTTTTCCAGGACCCATCAGCTCCAAGTTGAGCAATTGTTTCAATCTAGTTGTGGAGGGCGCAGCTCAGCGGCCCATGTGGGGATTGAACTGGCAGCCTTGTTGTTATGAGCCTGCGCTCTAACCACCGGAGCTAACCGGCCGCCCCTAGTTTGAGGAATTCTTGATCTGAACACCGAGGCTTGTGTGCCCCTCAGTTCTTTTCCAAGTGTCAGTCATGAGATGTGGCCCCAGATCTCGTTTTTCTTCGTGGGCTCTCATTCGAGTTGGTACCCTGTGTTTTCACATTTATTATGCAGCTTAATTTGCCCTTTGGGTTCTGGTGACGTGTTGTCGCCAGAATGATCACTGCTTTGTTTTCCCCTTGGATGATTGAATGGACCAGTGACCAATTAGAATGAGTAACTATGGGGCAGTGAAAGGTCACCCAGGCCTCACAGTGGCTCCATCATCATCTCTTTAGACCAGAGCCTGTGGTCACCTCTGAATTGAGTACAGGCTCTGCTTGGTG